CCGCCTCCCGCCTCCTCCTCCTCCTCCTCCTCCTCCTCCTCCTCCTCCTCCTCCTCCCGCCCTCCTCCCCTCCCTCCTCCGCCTCCTCCGCCTTCTCCTCCGCCTCCTCCTCCTCCTCCTCCTCCTCCTCCTCCCCTCCTCCGCCTCCTCCGCCTTCTCCTCCGCCTCCGATCCGCCTCCGCCTCCTCCGCCTCCTCATCCTCCTCCCTCCTCCGCCTCCTCCTCCTCCGCCTCCTCTCGCCTTCTCCTCCGCCTCCGGATCCGCCACCGCCTCATCCGCCTCCTCCTCCTCCGCCTCCTCCTCCTCCTCCGCCTCCTCCGCCTTCTCCTCCGCCTCCGGATCCGCCTCCTGCGCGCCGCCGACTGCAGCCCCTGGGAGGGGCACCGAGCTCCGCTCGGGTGGCTCTCCGCGTCGGCCGCCCTGCCCAGCCCAAGGAGTCTCGCTCTCAGGGTGATCGACCGCGGCCCAGCCCCCCCCCCAACGGAGGAGGAGAAGGAGGAGGAGGAGGAGGAGGAGGGGGAGGAGGAGGAGGAGGAGGAGGAGGAGGAGGCGTCGGCCGCCCTGCCCAGCCGTAGGAGTCTCACTCTCAAGGTGCTCGACCGCGGCCCCGCCCCCCCCCCCCAGTGCGGAGTCGGACGAGAGTTAAGTCGGGCTGTCCCCCTACAGGGGGATGTTGGACGAAAAAATGGTTTAACAATAATCGAAAAATACACCCAAATACTCAAAAATGGTCAAAAAATCGTCCCCCTGACTATTTTTTACTATTTTTGAACATTCCCCCTGTAGAGGGACATGCCCGACTCAAGACCAGAAGCAGAGAAACAACAAATGGCGTAAGCATAAACTGTTGGAGGTCCGCGCGGATGTGGATGGGCACTGGGCCCCACCCCGCCAGGGGAGGCGCCGGAGGCGCCGCCGGGGGGGTGCAGCGCCGGCACGAAGAATCCAAAGATCATGCTCGTGCGATTGCTTGTTCCCCGAAAGAAGCAAAAATTGTGACACGGAGGGGGGGGGGTCGCAAATCAGCTCACGTTGCTGGCGTTCCTGGCGCCCCCCGGCGCCGGAGCGACCATGCACCGTGGGAGGGATCTGGCGGCGGGACCGAAGCCCGCTGCGTGCAGCAGTTTTCGCGACCCCCCTTGCCCAATAGCCCCTTCGTCCGCCCCGAGTTGCGAAGCGAGAATTGATCCATACCCCCCGCCTGGGAACCCACGCCCTTGGGATCCACCGCCTGCGGAGGTCCGCGAAGACCGATCCTCCAGGCGACGATTATATAGAAATCCCCGCCTCAGCTGAGCGTTGCCCCATCGATTGCAAAGACCAGAGTGGGGACAGAGAGAACGCGCCGTCGGCAGAGGCAGACGAGGAGGAGGAGGAGGAGGAGGTGGAGGAGGCAGACGAGGAGGAGGCAGACGAGGAGGAGGAGGCAGACGAGGTGGCGGAGGAGGAGGAGGAGGAGGAGGAGGCAGACGAGGAGGAGGAGGAGGAGGAGGAAGAAGGAGCTCCACGTCGACACGGGGCGCGGCCTCGACGCCGCCGCAGACGGGCCCGAGCAGGGGCAAGGGCAGGCATTGCAAGGGCAAGGGCAAGGGCACGGGCAAGACTGGCAAGGGCGAGGCCAAGGGCAAGGCCGCCCCGCCGAAGAGGAAGAGCATGATGAAGATGGGCTGCAGCAGGCGCAGTTACATCCCCAATGGGTGCAGCACATGCAGGGATCCGAATGTCAGTGGCAAGCGCGGCCACCATTGACCCGATTGTCGCCGCGGCCCTGGCGACGGGCACATGTAGCGACCCGCGCGGTCGCGACCGTATTAGAACGTATAGTTTGGACATGCTACTTTTCACGTGAAGAGGAGCGCGTGAGGAGCGCTGTGGCGCTTTTCACGTCGTGGTGGCAGTGCTGGCTGCAGCGCTAGTGGGTCATGTTGCTCGCCGTGCGTGGCATTGTTGGCGCACATATACTGTGGAATTGGCGCTGCAGCGGTGGTATATCATATCGTTCACCGCGTGCCGTGGCACTGTTGGTACCCATGTACTGTGGAACGGGCGCAGCAGCGCTGGCGTGTCATGTTGCTCGCCGCGCGCCGGGGCTGCAATGCCAGTTGCAAATGCTGCAGCGCATCTCGTCGAGGGGGTTCCCATACAGCGCCCTCGTTCGTTGCCTTGGTCGCGATGACAATACTCGCGGATCATGCCCTCTCCCTCGGTTCACGCGTCGGCCCGCGCCGCACCGTCGGCGCAGCAGTGTGTTCCAAGCTGGGGTCGCTGCAGCGACGCCGCGCGATTTCGAATCAGCGATGTGGGCCCATTCCCGCTCAGACCTGAGAGGCGAACTCCGCGAGAAGCGCAAGTCGGCGATTGCGGTTGCTCAGGCGGCGGTTGAGGATGCCGGGGAGAAGCACAAGGCAGCGCGCAAGCAGGTGGGCGGCGGCGACGGCGACGGGGGGGGGATGGCGACGCGGCGGCGTCGGCAGGGATGTCGGGGGCGGGGGGGCGAAGGCAACGATGACGGCACGGCGACGGCGGCGTCGACGATGGCGGCGCTGCTCGGGCGGGCCGCAGCCCTCCACGAATGGCGGGGGGGCGGGGGGGGCGATGGGGAGCCCGGCGAGACTGCGCCCGCCCTCCTCGAGAAAACGCAGAAAGCGGCGGACGATGCGAACAATATTTGGCAGCACATGGTCGACGGCAGCCGTCGCGCGAAGAGGAGCTTCGACGAGGAGATCGCCGAGAAGGCCCGCGCAAACAAAATGAAGGCGACGCGAGCGACTGCAGCTGCTCGCGCGCGCGGGTGCACTCGCGCCGCTTGTCTGGGAATGCGCGCGCGTTTCTCTGAGCAGGGAATCTCGGCTGCAGCGAGTCTGGCGCGTCACAGCGGCGCGGCTGCAGCGGGGCGACAGCGGGGAATACACGGGCGCCGCGGTGGTTGGCGCTGCAGCGCCTTTCAGATCCGCCCAAGTAGAAACGTTGGCATATTGCGTTGCAGCGCGATGATATCAAGATCGGCGCATTGAGCGCTGGCGCTGCAGCGCTGTATATGACGTCAAGGTTGGCGCGTTGCCCCCATCTCCACCAATTGCCCACGCGCGTTGCTCCGAGGAGTTGCCCCCGCACGGCGCGCCCGCACTTTGCCTGCGCATCGCCCCGAAGTGTTGTCCCGCCCCCCGATAGTGCCCCAATGCCTCCGGAAATTGCCACCGGAGCATTCCCCGCCCCATAAACCAAGCCCCCCACCCAGCCACCGCACGTGAGATATACGTAGCACCCCGCAGATGCGGATAAGAGACAACGCCCAACAGGAGACGAACCTTGGAAGCGGTTCGGCGTGGGAGCGCGCAGGACCCCCGGCCCTGCCGCTGGGCAAGGTCCTCGGAGCATTGCCTCACCACGGGGGCAGGCGCGCAGAATCTGCCGATGCACGCAAGCTAGCACTGCCGCCAAGCAGCGCCCAACGGAGACAGTTGTGAGCCTCGCCCAATGTGAGCGTGCAGGACAGATATTTCTTCCGCCCGGCAGCGTCCTTGAGGCGACTTCCTCGCGACGGGAACACACACGCATAGTATGCGGACGCATACAGGATGGCATTGCCGCCAGACCGCGTACAAGAGGAGACGATTGCAGGACCGCAGGTCTCAACGCTGGGCAAAGTCCTTGAAGCAACAGCCGCTACGCTGCTTCCAAAAGGAAACGAACCTTAGTTGCGGTTCGACGTAAAAAGGTTCAGGACCGCCGAACTTTCCGCCAGGTGTGTTCTAGGGTGCGCGAGATCTGGCACTGCCGCCAGCCAATATCCAAAACGAGACAACCTTGGTGATCGAGACCACGTGAAAATGTGCAGGCCCGCTGGCCTTGCCGCTGGCCAACGTCCTTGAGGCAACAACCTCGCGACGGGGGTAATTACGCGTGCAAGTTCGGTGGACGCACGTTGGCTGGCACTGTCGCCAGCCAGCGTTCCAAAAAAGACGAACACTGGTAACAAATCGACGTGTGAGCGCGCAAGACCGCCGGCCTTGCCGCCAGGCAACGTCCTTGAGGCATCTGCCCCGCAACGGGACCGCCGGCCTTGCCGCAGGGCTGTGTCCTTGAGGCACCACCCTCGCGACGGGAGCGGGCGGGCATACACTATTACCAGCCTGGAACATATCTCTATCCCTATGCTGGGCATCTCCTCATCACGATGCCAATCTTAGGGAGTCCCTTATTTTTTGAAGGCGATTCCCTAAGATTGTCATCGCCTTTTCGCGTGTCAATCTTAGGGATACGTTCGAGGCTGGTAAATCTACGGACGCACGATGGCTGACACTGCCGCCAGCCAGCGTCTCGAAGAGGACGAACCTTGGTAACAGCTCGACGCGAGCGTGTGCGAGGCCGCCGGCCTTGCCGCCAGGCAACGTCCTCGAGGCATCTGCCTCGCAGCGGGACGGCAGGCGTGCAGACTCAGCAACGACACGCAAACTGTCGCTGCCGCCAGGCAGCGCCCACAGGAAACGAGATGCGAGAACCAGGGATGTGCGAAGGTGCAGGACCGCCGGCCTTGCCGCCAGCCTGTGCCCTCGAGGCGACTGCCTCGCGACGAAGGCGAACACGCGGAATCTGCGGATGCACGATAGCTGGCACTGCCGCCCTTTCTTCAGGCACCAGAGGCGGGTGCCCGTGCCTGTACATCGACACGGATGGGCATCTGGGCCCATGCGGCGCTACCTCGCTGGGGAAGGCCGTACCTGCCCTGAGTGTGAGGGCAAGAGGTCCTAGGCCACTGTCACCCAGCCATTCACTGGACAGGGGGCGACCCAGGGGTAAGGAGAAGGAGGAGGAGGAGGAGGAAGAAGAGGAGGAGGAGGAGGAGGAGGAAGAGGAGGAGAAAGGAGGAGGAGGAGGAGGAGAAGGAGGAGGGAGAAGGGAGGAGGAGGGGGAGGAGGAGGAGGAGGAGGAGGAGGAAGAGGAAGAGGGGCCGCACTTCACGCCTTCACGCAGGGGCCGCGCTCGAGCTCAGAAATAATCACTCCAGGCCCAGGGCCTGGTCGAATCCGAGGGCGAGGTTAAGGTTCTGCACGCACGCCCCGCTCGCGCCTTTGCCCAGGTTGTCCAGTTGCGCGCACAAGCACATCGTGCCCTTCGCCTCGTGAGGGGCAACGTTTGGGGGGGGATCGGCTCAGGGAGGGAGACGTCGAGCGTGATCCGACGATGCATCGCCGATGGATCGGCGATAGACCCCCGATAGCGAATCTGGTCCTGGGCGGGGCGGACTGTCAAGCCCCTCTCGGCGATGGATGGGCGGCTCGGGGTCGATGCATCCCCCCCTTTGGCCTATCCCTCCCTAACGTGACCCCTGACCTCGTTGCCGAAGCAGAAGATCCGGAGCCTGTTGGTGTCGTTCACCGAGTCGGGGCGCAGGAAGGCCCCGCGCTCCAGCGAGCCGCTGGCGTCCAGCGGCGCCACGGAGACAAAGCGCGAGCCCGCGTAGTACTTCTCGAGCGCCGCGTGCACGTCCGCCAGGCTCGTGCCCGGGGCCAGCTGCGAGGACCGCACTGGCACCGACACTACCATACCCTGCTTGAAGTTGCCGACCGCCGGCAGGAACAGCGGCTCGTTCTCCAGGCCGGTCCACCTGGCCATCTCCGGCAGGTGCTTGTGGTCGAGGTTGAAGCCGTAGGCCCCCCAGGGCTCCGCATCGCCGCTCTCGTAGGTTGCGATCAGGCCCTTGCCGCCTCCGGAGTAGCCACTGATGGCTGGGACGGTCAGCAGGGCGCCGGTGGGCAGCAGCCCAGCATCAATGAGCGGGCGGACTATAGAAATGACAGGGCTTGGAACTCTACAGGGTGAAATACAGTCGGACCTAGGCCAGAAAAATACCCTTCACGAACATGAGAACCTCCGCCGGCCAAAGCATCCCAAACCTTAAGATCATTCGAAGGTACCATCCACCAGGATGCACAAGAACGCCCAACAAACACGAGGAGCGTAGGGTACCCTCCACGAAGTGACCTCGATCTTATACCTCGGTCCGACCGTAATGCTCCTGCCCCTCGCCCCCATCTTCCTCCCCCCGTCCTCCTCACAACCCGCCCGCTGCATCTTCCTGCTGAGGAGCGCTGGAACACTTGAGCGACGATCAAAACGGGTCCTACGCAAGATGACACAGCGACCTTACGCTGCGGCTTACTCGAGCCACCAGCGCGGCACGCTTCATTGGAGACGAGGGCGCTTACGCGCGACCTTACGCGGGCAACTTCCGCGCGCATGTCGGCGCAGACGACCCCGGCTTTTTGCATAGCTCACTTCACTCCGTAGATGTCTGGGCCCCTAGATGAAGCCTGTGGGGTAGCAGCCTGGGTTGGCGATGCGCTTTGAGCTGGCAATCGCCTCCGCCTGCCCCGGCGACAGCTCTGCGAAGCCATACACCCACCCATCCGCGATGCGATGCGCAGTGCTGGCATCCACGATCACGGTGTCAGCATCCCCGCACAGCTCCACGGCTGCAATGGCGGCGTCGTCGGGCAGGCACAACACCGCCGCGTCTGCAGACCGCAGCGCGTCCCGCCGCGCGGCCTCGTCTTTGCGCAGCTCTGAAGGGAGGCTCAGGATCTCGATCTCCGGGTGTGCGGTGAGCCTCTCGGCGACCTGGCCCGCACTAAGAATGGCCACCTCTCATTCCCAGACCCCCGACGTCATGATTTGTGCAGAACTTGGCGCCCCAGAGGTCTCGACCCATTCCCCGAGATCGGCTTTTCATTCTGAGCTTGGGGGATGAAGCCAAACCCGACCAAAATCCCTGGACCCCTCCCGGGGTCCATCTGGTGCAATCTCTCACCCTGGCTCCGCTTCTGACGGTCCCGGGGCCCCGAAACGGCCCCCAGAGGCCGAAAGAAACAAACAACTAACCCGAACCCACAACCCTAAACCTCGCCTGCCCTTCCTGCTGGCCGAAACCAATGCTGGGCCACCTCAGACCCACAGACAGCTCCAATCCTGAGCCCCTTTTGACGGTCCCGGGGTCCCTCGAGGAACCCCAGAGGCCAAAAAGTTTGAAAAAAACTGCCGTCGTGAGTGCACGACGCGATGGGGCCTGGGTGTTGGGGAGGGGAGCAGATCCTGCCTCCGCCGCCTCGGGCTTCTACGGACCTGGGTCCACGCAGACCCGGGTCAGCCAGGCTTGCAGGATCCTGCAAGATCTTGCAGGATCCTGCAGGACCCTGCACCCAGACCCAGGTCAGTGCGTCCCTGGCCCTGCAGGATCCTGCAAAATCTGGCACCCTGGCTGACCCCCGTTTGCATTGACTGCCGCCTTTTGTCGGCGGCGAGCCCTGGGGGGAAGCGACAAGGGGCGGGCCTCCTCCGCGGGCTCGGGGGGCCTCTTGCCTTCTGCTGAGAAGAAGTTCTCTGAGCCTTCCCCCAAGGCGCAAGTCTGTGCAGGAGGCGCGAGGGCCTCTGAGAAGCCTGGCCGCCTGCTGAGAAGGTCTTCTCCTTCTCAGTTTCCCCCCCTCGCTCGCCGCCGATCCTGCTGGCACGGCGGCCCCCGCTGCTGCCTCGATATCCGCCCTGCCCCCGTTCCAGCCTGCCGCCCGCCTTCAGCCGAGGAGGAGGAGGAGGAGGAGGAGGAGGAGGAGGAGGAGGA